AAAGAAGTCTACTAATATTAAAACAAACAGGAAAAATGTAAGCCCGCCCACCCGCCCTGCCTCAATTGTGATGATTTTTTTATTCGCAATGAAGCAAGAGGGCGGAGCTTAACTGCAAAATACTTATTTCTTTACAAGAAATTGAAAAGATGTTTTGAAAAATTGTACTTGTGAAAATCTTGCTAAAAAAACCTCAAAGAAATCTAGGATATAGATAAGACAGATAGGAGCTTCGTGGTCAGGCGTTGATGAAAACAAAAATACTTTCTAATTAATAATTTTAATGTAAATCAATCTCAAAAATAAGAAACTGAACCATTCGAATACAGACGAGTCAGACGACGATCTACAATCAAGATTAAACTCAAGTTTAAAAATAAAAACAAAAATTTAGACAATGTATGAAACCGTAGATGTCAACACTTACTCCTTATGTAATATAATAACACAAATACACACTGAGCCAGCAACTGGTTAAGGGACTCTGACCTCTAATGTTGTCGGCTTTACAGAAAGGTTTTTGCTCTTCTGTTTGGTCCGCAAATTTAAATATCCTGGCGCTCCTAGCGGTAAGATCCTCCTTTAAAATACGTCAGTTTGTCAGTGTGAGGATTTTCAAGAGATTCTAGGATGTTTAACACACAAAAAAGTGGAAAAAAGAAGACAATGGTGCTTATTTTATGATATTTGTCACACTTTTTTGGTTGATTGTACTGTTTTCAGGCTCTTAGAACATGAAAAAGCTCCAGTTTATCATAGAAAGAAGGAAAAAATTGCTATATCTCCTCTAGTGAATCTCCTTAAGAATCATTTTGTTGTGTATGTGCTCGGGTCTTCCCAGTTATTTACAACTTTTATTGATTAGATTTGGAATTATTTATTTTCACAATATATTTGTATATTTTATTTACTTGATAGTTGGGTAATTCCATCTCACACCTAAATCACTGTATTAAAAAACTCCCAAAACTTTAATTTAACTTTATTTACAATACTAATTAAATAAAATAATCTCCTTAAAAATATAATACATTCTCACTCTTAACACTTAGCACGCACGTCGAAACCTAACCTACAAATCAAATTACAATACAAAACATTGCGATAATACATTGCGATGCTTTGCTTACAGCCTTGCAGTTCAACGAATCTCTCTACCCATTAAATCGTCTTACAACTATCATTATATTGCCAAAGGTTATTAAACTGCGACACTCTATTATCTTTGAGCAACTTAATCAAGAAGAACTGAAGAAACGAAAAATTGAATCATTGCCAAAAATCCAGAAACTTAAAAATCGAAGAAAATTAATGAATCGAAAATTTTAATAATTAAATCTCCAGAAATTAAAAAATTAAATTCAGTTTTTCAAATTTTTCAATTTTGAAATTTTTGGATTTTTCAAACAGGTTTTCCGATTTCTTTAATTTTCAATATTTCGATTTTCCGATTTTGCAATTTTTCGAATTTTTAGTTTCTAATTTATAATCTTTCCATTTTCTAAATTTCTTGTTTCTTCAATTTTTCAAGTTCTTGATTCCTAATTTTTAGATTTTTCAGTTTTCATTTTATAATTTTTGGTTTTTTCATTTTTAATTTAGAATTTGCAATGTTTCCATTTTTTTGGTTGGAGAAATTGAAAAATCGAAAAAGCAAAATCGAAAAAGTGGAAAATCGAAAAATTACAAATCGAAGAACTGAAGAAACGAAGAATCGAATCATTGCCAAAAATCCAGAAACTCGAAAATCGAAGAAAATTAATGAATCGAAAATTTGAATAATAAAATGTCCAGAAATTAAAAAATTAAATTCAGTTTTTCAAATTTTTCAATTTTGAAATTTTTGGATTTTTCAATCAGATTTTTCGATTTCTTTAATTGTCAATATTTCGATTTTACAATATTTCATTTTTTTAGTTTCTCAATTTTTAATCTTTCCATTGACCAAATTTCTTGTTTCTTCAATTTTTCAAGTTTTTGATTCCCAATTTTTATATTTTTCAAAGTTTTCATTTTATACTTTTTGATTTTTTCATTTTTGATTTACAATTTTGCAATTTTTCTATTCTTTTGGTTGGAGAAATTGAAAAATCGAAAAAACAAAATCGAAAAAGTGGAAAATTGAAAAATTAAAAACCGAAGAACTGAAGAAACGAAAAATTGAATAATTAAATGTCCAGAAATTAAAAAATTAAATTCAGTTTTTCAAATTTTCAATATTTGACTTTTCAATTCCTCGATTTTCCATTTTTAAAATTTTTCAATTTTGAAATTTTTGGATTTCTCAACCACATTTTCCAATTTCCTTGATTTCCATTATTTCGCTTTTCCAATTTTGCAATTTTTCGATTTTTAGGTCCAATTTTTAATCTTTCGATTTTTCAATTTCTTGTTTCTTCAATTTTTCAATTCCTCGATTTTCCAGTTTTTAAATTTTTCAATTTTGCAATTTTTGGATTTCTCAGTTTTTCGATGTTTAGGTTTTCCAATTTTTTTTTTCTTTCGATTTTCCAATTTCTTGTTTCTTTAATTTTTCAAGTGCTTAATTCCCAGTTTTTAGATTTTTCAAAATTTGCATTTTATTCTTTTTTATTGTTTTCATTTTTGATATACAATTTTGCAATTTTTCTAATCTTCTGTGTCCATAAATTGGAAAACCGAAAAAAGCAAAATCGAAAAAGTGGAAAATCGAAAAATTACAAATTGAATCATTGCCAAAAACTGATAAATTTAAGAATCGAAGTAAATTAATGAATCGAAAAATTGAATAATTAAATGTCCAGAAATTAAAAAATTAAATTCAGTTTTTCAAATTTTCAGTATTTGATTTTTCAATTCCTCGATTTTCCAGTTTTTAAATTTTAAAAGTGGAAAATCGAAAAATTTAAAATCGAAGAACTGAAGAAACGAAAAATTGAATGATTAAATGTCCAGAAAATAAAAATTAAATTCGATATTTCAAATTTTTACATTTCCTCGATTTTCCAGTTTTTAAATTTTTCAATTTGGAATTTATGGATTTCTCAATCAAATTTTCCAATTTCTTTAATTTTCAATATTTCGTTTTTCCGATTTTGCAATTTTTAGAATTTAGATTTAATCTTTCAATGTTTCAATTTCCTTTGTTCTTCAATTTTTCAAGTTCTACATTTACAATTTTTAGATTTTTCAGTTTTCATTTTATATTTTTTATTGTTTCATTTTTGATTTACAATTTTGCAATTTTTCCATTTTTCTTTTGGTTCAAAAAAATGGAATTGAATATTTAATGAATTGAAAAATTGAATAAATAATTGCCCAGAAATTAAAAAGTTAAATTTCGTGTAATAAATAAAAAAGTTTTAAAATCCAATAATTAAAAAATCCAATAATTCTAAAATCGTAAAACTGAAAAAGTAAACATTTTAAAAACTGGTATTTTAAGTTGTAAAAGTGAAAACCGAAAAATAGAAAAATCCAAATATTTGAAAAATTTCACATTGAAAAAAAAAGATTATAAAATCACAACACTGAAAAAACGGAAAATGAAAAACCCAAAAATTGTAAAATTTCACACCAAAAAAGACAAATTATGAAATCAAATCATTGTCAAACTGAAAAATGAAGAAAATAAAAAGCTCAAATGAAAAATTGAAAATCAAAAAATTAAAAATTTAAAACTCGTGAAATTGAAAAATTTGCAAAAGATAATAATGGAAAATCGAAAAACTGATAAATTAAAAATGAAAATTGAAGAGTTGTATATCATAAAATTAAACAAACAAAAAATCATAATTCGTAAATTAAAAATCGAAAAACTTGAAAATTCTAAAATCGCAAAATTGAGAACCTGAAAATTTTTTAAAATTATTATTAGGATATATTTAAAATGAAAACTAGAAAAAAACATTTAAAAATGAAGAGAAAAATTGAAAACTGGAGAAACAGAAAAATCAAAGAATTAAAAAATCGCAAAATTGAAAACCGAAACTGCAAATCGGAAAAATGGAAAAACCAAAAACTGAAAAATTTCACATTGGAAAAAGACAAATCATAAAATTAGAACATTGTAAAGCCGAAAAACTGTCATTAGTTGAATTACGAAAGTTGTCAAAAATTGGCCGAAATTTCATATTAGGTAGTGAAAAATTTTGTTTTTGAAAAAGTTCCCAAAAAAAATTCAAAAAATTCAATACTTCAGTGGGTGATTCTGGAAAAATGGTAAAAGCAATAAGAAAAGAAGAAATTAATTCGAAACCAACTTCTGGAGTGACACCTATAGAAAATATCTTTCGTTGAATTTCGAAAATTGGCCCAAATTTTCAGTGGGTGTATTGAAAAATTGTGCTTGTGAAAAAGTTGTTAAAAAAAATCTAGGATAAAGGAGATACGTGGTCTGGCGTTTATCAAAACAAAAATGCTCGTCATAAATTAGAAAAATCAACCGAGAGCGCTAATAATAATTACTTTAGGGTAGCGAGTCGGGTCGGCCTTCTCAAAAAGGTTTTTTCCTGGCTGTTCGGTTCGCAAGTTTAAATATCGTAGCGCTCCTAGCGGTAAGATCCTGAACTAACCACTCAAACCGTGTTGTTTTCAATAATAATTGTTCGTTTTTGAACAAATAGTTAATATGACAAGGGCCTTTAAAATACGTTACTTTGTCAGTGTGAGAATTTTCAAGCGATTGTCTGATGTTTAACACACAAAAATGAAGAAAAAAGAAGACAATGGTGCTTATTTTATGATACTTATTTATCACACTTTTTGGTTAATTATACTGTTTTGAGGGTCTTAGAATATGAAAAAGCTCCACTTTGATGTGTAAGACATCTATATTAATATCAGGTTATCACAGAAAGAAGGAAAAATTGCTATATCTCCTCTAGTGTCTAGTGATTCTCCTTAAGAATCATTTTGTAGCGTATGCGCTCGGGTCTTCCCAGTTATTTACAACTTTTATTGATTAGATATGGTTGGGAAATTCTATCTCACACCTAAATCACTGTATTAAAAAACTCCCAAAACTTTAATTTAATTTTATTTACAATACTAATTAAATAAAATAATCTCCTTAAAAATATAATACATTCTCACTCTTAACACTTAGCACGCACGTCGAAACCTAACCTACAAATCAAATTACAATACAAAACATTGCGATAATACATTGCGATGCTTTGCTTACAGCCTTGCAGTTCAACGAATCTCCCTACCCATTAAATCGTCTTACAACTATCATTATATTGCCAAAGGTTATTAAACTGCGACACTCTATTATCTTTGAGCAACTTAATCAAATGATGATTCACATTATTCTCGGCAGCCTTCAGCAGCTTCTGCGGCGTATCCTTATAAATCATCCTCACCAATTCCTGCTCGTCGAACTGCTTCTGCCTATTATTAATCAAAATATTCAAGATCTGCTGCTCCCTCTCGTTCCTATGGTGAATATAAAACTCGATCTTATCTTTGGGACTCTGCAACCAATAAACATCAACCTCAACCCGCAACAAACTCGACCTCGGGACTCACATGAACGACATTGCCGTGACCGGGGTATACCACCGCCGGCTCGATGTTCGAAATCTCCTGCAGCGAGTTCATGTAGTCGTGCAGATCCTCGAACACCGCCGTCCCCTCGCCCAGGATGCAGTCGCCGCTGAATACTGCGTTTTCTTCGACCAGGTGGAGGACGATGTGGTCGGTGGTGTGGCCGGGGGTGTGGATGACGCGGAGGGTGGCGCCCTCGACGAAGAACTCCTGGCCGTCTTTCAAGAACTCAACGGGGGCGCCGTCGGGGATGTCGTCGCCTTCGGTGCGAGGGTACTTCCAAACTTGAGCGTACTCTGTGGAGGAGAGAGAATGAAGAAGGGTTGGAGAGGGTTAAGAGTGACGTACTTGTTTTGTCCCGGAGGTCGAGCACGTCGAGGAGGCCCCCGAAGTGGTCGTGGTGCCAGTGGGAGATGAAGATGTGCGCCAGGTCGATGTCCTCGTGCTTGAGGACGCTCTTGAGGTGGTTGATGTATTGGGGGACGTCGGAGTCGCCGGTGTCGATGAGGATGCGCCTGGAGAAAAAATTAGTTTTAAAACTACCGGACTGATTGTTGGCAAATTTTGACGAATGCCGTCATTAAAAATTTTGTAAAGAAAAAACTCATTACAAAAAGCTGTTATACGCTATTTCAAATTCTCGTTTTTTTCATTTCTGTGAGTTTTTCAATATTTTTTTCGAATTTCCAGTTTTTAAATTTTTCAATTTCGCAATTTTTGGATTCCCCCATCAGATTTTCCGATGTGTTTAATTTTCAGTAATTCGATTTTACAATATTGTGTTTTTCCGATTTTTAAGTTTTTCAATGTTTAATCTTTCGATTTTTCAATTTCTTGTTTCTTCAAATTTTAAAGTTCTTAATTTCTAATTTTTAGATTTTTCAAAGTTTTCATTTTATGATTTTTGATTTTTTCATTTTTGACTTACAAAAATCAAAATCTAAAAAGTGCAAAAACGAAAAAATAAAAACCAATTTGAATAATTAAATGTCCAGAAATTAAAAATTAAATTCAGTTTTTCAAGTTTTCAATATTTGATTTTTCAATTCCCCGATTTTCCAGTTTTTAAATTTTTCTATTCTGCAATTTTTGGATTTCTCAACCAGATTTTCCAATTTCTTTAATTTTCAATTATTTGGTTTTCCGATTTGCATTTTTCGATTTTTCAGTTTCATGTTTCTTAAATTTTTCAGGTTCTTGACGCCCAACTTTGTGATTTTTCAAAGTTTTCATTTTATACTTTTTGATTTTTTCATTTTTGATTTACAATTTTGCGATTTTTCTATTCTTTCAGTTCAAGAAATTGAAAAATCGAAAAAGTGGAAAATTGAAAAATTACAAATCGAAGAACTGAAGAAACGAAAAATTTAATCATCGCCAAAAATCCAGAAACTTAAAAATCGAAGAAAATTAATGAATCGAAAATTTTAATAATAGAATGTGCAGAAATTAAAAAAAAATCAGTTTTTCAAATTTTTCACTTTTGAAATTTTTGGGTTTCTCAATCAGATTTTCCGATTTTGCAATTTTTCGATTTTTTAGTTTCTCAATTTTTAATCTTCCCATTTTCCAAATTTATTATTTCTTCAATTTTTTCAAGTTCTTGATTCCTAATTTTTAGATTTTTCAGTTTTCATTTTATAATTTTTGATTTTTTCATTTTTGATTTACAATTTTGCAATTTTTCTATTCTTTTGGTTAGAGATGTTGAAAAATGGAAAAAGTGGAAAATCGAAAAATTAAAAACCGAGGAACTGAAGAAACGAAAAATTGAATAATTAAATGTCCAGAAATTAAAAAATTAAGTTCAGTTTTCGAAATTTTCAATATTTGATTTTTCAATATTTCGCTTTCCCGATTTTGCAATTGCTCGATTTTTTAGTTTCTCAATTTTTGAATCTTTCCATTTTCCAAATTTCTTGTTTCTTCAATTTTTCAAGTGCTTGATTCTTAATTTTTAGATTTTTCAAAGTTTTCATTTTATTATTTTTGGGTTTTTCATTTTTGATTTAGAATTTTGCAATTTTTCTATTGTTTTGGTTCGAAAAATTGAAAAATCGGAAAAACAAAATTGAAAAAGTGGAAAATCGAAAAATTAAAAACCGAAGAACTGAAGAAACGTAGAATTAAAGAATTAAATGTCCAGAAATTAACAAATTAAATTCAGTTTTTAAAATTTTTCAATTCTGTAATTTCTGGATTTCTCAATCAGATTTTCCAATTTCTTTAATTTTCAATATTTCGTTTTTCCGATGTTGCAATTTTTCGATTTTTAGGTTTCTCAGTTTTTACTTTCGATTTGTCAATGTCTTGGTTCTTCAATTTTTTCAAGTTCTTGATTCCCAAATTTTAGATTTTTCAAAGTTTTCATTTTATACCTTTTGATTTTTTTATTTTTGGTTTAGAATTTTGCATATATTTTTTTTTGGTTCGAAAAAGGTGAAAATCGAAAAATTACAAATTGAGGAACCGAAGAAACGAAGAATTGAATAATTAAAAACCAAAAATCGAGAAACTTCAGAATCGAAGAAATTAATGAATCGAAAAATTCAATAATTAAATGTCCAGAAATTAAAAAATTAAATTCCCTTCTTCAAATTTTCAATATTTGATTTTTCAATTCCTCGATTTTCCAATTTTGCAATTTTTGGATTTCTCAATCAGATTTTCCAATTTCTTTAATTTTCAATATTTCGTTTTTCTAGTTTTGGAATTTTTCGAATTTAGGTTTCTCAATTTTTTATCTTTGAATTTTTGAATTTCTTAATTTTTCAATTTTTCAAGTTCTTAATTCCCAATTTTTAGATTTTTCAAAGTTCTCATTTAATACTTTTTGATTTAATTTTCATTTTTGATTTACGATTTTGCAGTTTTTCTATTATTTTGGTTCCAGAAATCGAAAAATTGAATCATTGCCAAAAACTGAGAAACTTAAGAATCGAAGAAAATTAATGAATCGAAAAATTGAATAATTAAATGTCCAGAAATTAAAAAATTAAATACACTTTTTCAAATTTTCAGTATTTGATTTTTCAATCCTCGATTTTGCAGTTTTTAAATTTTTCAATTTTTGCTTTCTCAGTCAGGTTTTCCTATTTCTTCGATTTTCAATATTTCAATTTTACAATATTTCGCTTTTCCGATTTTGCAGTTTTTCGATTTTAAGTTTCTTAATTTTTAATCTTTCCGTTTTCCAAATTCCTTGTTTCTTCAATTTTTCACGTTCTTTTTGGACTATTCATTTTGGATTTAGAATTTTGAAATTTTTGTATTTTTTTGGTTCGAGAAATCGAAAAATAGAAAAAACAAAGTCGAAAAAGTGGAAAATCGAAAAAATAAAAACCGAAGAACTGAAGAAACGAAAAATTGAATAATTAAATATCCAGAAATTAAAAAATTAATTTTTCAATTTTGTAATTTTTGGACCTTCCAATTTTTTTTTTATTTTCAATATTTCGTTATTCCGATTTTGCAATTTTTTGATTTTTAGGTTTCTCAATTTTTAGTCTTTTGATTTTCCAATTTCTTGTTTTTTCAATTTTTCAAGTTCTTGATTCCCAATTTTTATAGTTTTCAGTTTTATTTTATACTTTTGGATTTTTTCATTTTTGATTTAGAATTTTGCAATTTTTTTATTCTTTTGGTTCAAGAAATTGAAAAATCGAAAATACAAAATTGAAAAAGTGGAGACGAAAAATTAAAAACCGAAGAACCGAAGAAACGAAAAACTGAATAATTAAATGTCCAGAAATTACAAAATTAAATTCGGTTTTTGAAATTTTCAATATTTGATTTTTCAATTCCTCGATTTTCCAGTTTTTAAATTTTTCATTTTTGAAAATTTTGGATTTCTCAACCAGATTATCCAATTTCTTTAATTTTCAATATTTCGTTTTTCCGATTTTGCAATTTTTCGATTTCTCAATTTTTAATCTTTCGATTTTTCATTTTCTTGTTTCTTCCATTTTTCAATTTCTTGTTTCATAACTTTTTGATTTTTCAAAGTTTTCATTTTATATTTTTTGATTTTTTCATTTTTGATTTGGAATTTTGTAATTTTTCAATTCTTTTGGTTCAAGAAATTGAAAAATCGAAAAAGTGGAAAATCGAAAAATTAAAAACCGAACAACTGAAGAGACGAAAAATTGAACAATTAAATGTCCAGAAATTAAAAAAATAAATTCAGTTTTTCAAATTTTCAATATTTGATTTTTCAATTCCTAGATTTTCCAGTTTTTAAATTTTTCAATTTTGAAATTTCTGGATATCTCAACCAGATTTTCCAATTTCTTTAATTTCCAATTATTTCATTTTTCAGATTTTGCAATTTTTAAATTTTTAGGGTTCTCAATTTTTAATCTTTCGTCAATTTTTTGTTTCTTCAATTTTTCAAGTTTTTGATTCCCAATTTTTATATTTTTCAAAGTTTTCATTTTATACTTTTTGATTTCCTTATTTTTGATTTATAATTTTGCAATTTTTCTATTCTTTTGGTTTGAGAAATTGAAAAATCGAAAAAAGGAAAATCGAAGAACTGAGGAAACGTAGAATTGAATAATTAAATGTCCAGATATTAAAAATTACATTCACTTTTTCAAATTCAACATTTGATTCTTCCATTCCTCGATTTTCCAATTTCTAATTTTTCAATTTTGTAATTTTTGGATTAGATTTTCCAATTTCTTTAATTTTTAATATTTCGTTTTTTCGATTTTGCAATTTTTCGATTTTTAGGGTTCTCAATTTTTAATCTTTCGATTTTTCAATTTCTTGTTTCTTCGATTTTTCAAGTTCTTGATTCCCAATTTTTAGATTTTTCAAAATTTTCATTTTATACTTTTTGATTTTTTTCATTTTTGATTAACAATTTTGCAATTTTTCTCTTATTTTCCTTCGAAAATGTGGAAAATCCAAAAATTGCAACTCGAAAGACTTAAGAAATGATTTTCCCGTTTTTAAATTTTTCATTTTTGAAACTTTTGGATTTCTCAACCAGGTTTTGCAATTTCTTTAATTTTCAATTATTTCGTTTTTCCGATTTTGCAATTTTTCAATTTTTAGGTTTCTCAATTTTTAATCTTCCAATTTTTCAATTTCTTGTTTCTTCAATTTTTCAAGCTCTTAATTCCCAACTTTTCGATTTTTCAAAATTTTCATTTTATACTTTTTGATTTTTTCATTTTTAATTTACAATTTTGCAACTTTTCTTTTGGTTCGAAAAAGTGGAAAATCGAAAAATCACAAATCGAGAAACTTCAGAATCGAAGAAATTAAAAATGTTAATTAAATGTCGAGAAATTAAAAAATTAAATTTCGAAAAATTGAAAACTTTAAAAAACGAAAAATTTTATATTGAAAAAAAAAAGAAAAATGATAAAATCACAACACTGAAAAAAAAACGGAAAATGAAAAATCCAAAAATTGTAAAATTTTACACTGGAAAAAAAATTATGAAATTAGATCGTTGAAAAACTGAAAACATGAAAAATAAAGAAAATAAAAAACTGAAATGAAAAATTGGAATTCGAAAAATTGCAGAAATGAAAAACTGAAAATTTCAAAAAATGGAAACATTCAAAAGTTGAAAAATCGAAAAATTGACAAATTAAAAAATGAAAACTCGAAGAGTAAAATTATACAAACAAAAAAATCATAATTGAAAAATTAAAAATCGAAAAACTGGAAACTCCTAAAATCGCAAAATTGAAAAAATGAAAAATTTTTAAAATCATTATTACCACAACATATTTAAAAAAAAAGCGCATGAAAAGTGAAGGGAAAAATTGAAAACTCGAGAAACTGAAAATCTAACTTTGAAAAAACGAAAAAATCTAAACATTGAAAAATCGGAAAATTGAAGACCAAAAAACTGCAAATCGGAAAAACGGAAAATCCAAGAACCGAAAAATTTCACATTGAAAAAAGACAAATTATAAAATTAGAACACTGAAAAGCCGTGAATTTGAAAAATAAAGAAAATAAAAACAGAAACGAAAAATTGCAAATCGAAAAACTGAACAAATGAAAAATTGAAAATCGAAAAACTGAAAAATCAAAGATTGAAAACTAGTGAAATTGTAAATCGAAAAATTCCAAAAACTCAAAACTGAAACATCCAAAAGACGGAAAATCGAAAAACTGGGAAATTTCAAAACGAAAACTTCAAGAATTGCATTTCGTAAAATTAAAGAAACAAAAAAATCAAAATTGAAAAATTGAAAAAACAAATAAATGAAAGAATTTTAAAATCCAGTAATTGAAAAATGGAAAAATTCTAAAATCGCAAAATTGAAAAAGTGAAAAATTGTTTAAATTGTTATTACAAATTAAAAATGAAAACTAGAAAAAAGCAAATCAAAAACTGTAGATGAAAACTGAATGATGGAGAATTTAATAATTAAAGAATTGCAACACGAAAAATTATGAAAATAAAGAAAAAAAAATTGAAATGAGAAACTGAAAAAAAACTGAAAACTCGAGAAATCGTAAATCGAAAAATTGAAAAAAAAAATAACAATAACAAAGAGGATTTTTCCATACAATGCAGCAATAGTACTTAGCCCTCTATATTATTGTAAAAAAAAATTTACAGTTAGCTTTATTAATTAGATTATTGCCGAAAACCGAAACGAAATATTGCAAATTGAAAATCTGAAGAAACAAAAAAATAGCAAATTCCAAGTCTTCATAGAGGTTATCGGAAAGCAAAAATCGCAAGAATTCAGTAGCGAGGGAAAATCTGTCGAAATAACTTTCGACCAATTTTTTTATCATCTCTCCAAGAAAGTTATTATTGTGTTTTAGAAAACGTATCACATTTGTGACATTGTTTACGTCTGTGATACCCACTCTCTGGCATAATGAATGAGATACCGTGATACCGACACTTTTATCTTCCCGACTGTGTAAATTCCAATCTTAAAATAGTAAACATAAACACAACCTTCAATTCAGTTACAAAAGACAAAACCACGACAATTAAATTAATGCACCCGTCTCGAACATTTTGACAACCACTGCTACACCCTATATGTTGAGCGCCACCGATCGAGTCACCTGTCACGCCGCACGCGTGCCAACCCAACCAAATCGCCGCACTCCCGTATCTCCCGGAAACCCAAACAACCCAAAAACCGGACTCACCTCTTCCCCGTTCCCACGATGTAAGTATTCGTCCCTTGTAGGGTCATGATTCCGGGGTTGCAGCCCAGAACCCGGATAATCCGGGACGACAGTTTGGTAACAGCCGGTATGACCGCCGCCATCTTGACACTAAACCAGTCAGCCGGGAAATTCAAAAAACTGGCACAGATAGTCACGGCCTGGAAAAATGGGAAAATGGTGTGAAATCGCGCAGCCTCGAGCCGAATCTCCGCAACGTTGCGTCAGTTGCGTTTTTTCTCGTTAAAGTTAATTGTTTTAGGTTGTGAAGAGGTACAGAAGTGGGTAAAGTTGTGACCGCAGCTTTACCTTGATCGTCAAGAGCGGAATTTGCAGGCGAGTCCAAACTGCGAGTTGCCGAATTACAGAGTAAATGACAGAGTAAATGTCGTTGTGGTTTGGCCTACCTGGAACCTCTGGCCTTGCTTGTCGGGTCACACTTTTGTCTCTGTCTGTACCTCTTCTGGTGTCCCAGGTGGGATCGACGTATTTAAAAGCCGCTATTTACCGTTTCAGATCGAATAGTCGCCGCTATGCAGAAGCTGTTCTGTCTGTGTGTCCTGGTGTGTGCGTCCGTCGCGTCTTCGCCCCGAAAACTCAGCGACGTCGAGGTAATTCTAAATCGTCTTCGTTCACGCAAAGTGACTAAGTGGTGCCGCTCTTCGCCCCGGCTTTATATACCCGGCTGCACCTTGCACTGTGTCTTTAGCCTCGTTTGAGGCTCGAATCTGCGATAAGCGCTATCAGAGGACAATTTTTTTTCTGTTTATAATTAGTGATTATAGGATCATATTACGCCGTTGTAAGGTCGTGTTTTCGTTTGCAATTGATAAGGTTCCGTTAACGCTCGTAATTAAGATGCGCTAGTTCTCGGATTCTATTAATATTGTTTTAATGCTCCGGGTTTCCGGGTTGGCCGGATCGAACCGGTTGCCGGCGCGCTTTATCAGCGATTCTTTTGTGCCCTATGTACACTTGGAGATTCGCACGAGCCGGAGATAAATGTATTGTTATTTTCGAAATGTGTCAGCGGTTTGGACGGATTATATAACGTGGACGTGGTGTTTGTTGATTGTGGTTATCTTATCGGGGTTAATGGAAAACAAAGTATTTTTGGGATGTGGGGTTTTGGTCCATCGAGAGATACCCAGAAGGAACTATTTTTTTTTAGTAAATTTATTTTTACCCGAGTCCAAATGATGTTAATGTTTTCATTAAAATAAGAAAAATGGAATTTTGTAACAATTTTTTAGTAAATGATCTCTGGTATTTTTTATTTATCATTAAAATAATAATAAAAAATATGCAGCTAAATTACAAAAAAAAATGTTCTAGGGGCTTTATCATATTATATCCCCAAAATTTATTGTCTCGTTGAATTATGCAATATTTAAATTTTTTTGTTTAACTAAGAATTAATTCTTTAATTGTGTTTGATACAAACCAAACGTCCGAAATTAGCAATACTAGTGGAACCATAATCATGCAATAGATTTTTTTTTGGGGAAAGTACAGTTATTTTTATGTTTTAGCAGCATTCTGTTCTATTTTCTATTAATTTGTGCATATTTTTAGTCACAGTTTTGGTAGTTATTTTTTAGTTTCACTTTTAGCAATAATAAATAATCCAAACATGAAAAAATCAAAAAAATAAAAATTGAAAAATCCCGAAAATTGAAAAATTGAAATATAGAAGAACCGAAACTGGAGAAATAAAAAATCTAGAATTTAAAAATTGAAAAATTAAAATGTCGAAAAGTTGAAAAATTCAGAAATCGAAATATAAAACAGCCGAAAATTGAAAAATCCAAAGTTTAAAAAACGAAAAACTGAAAATCGGGAAATCCAGAAGTCGAAAAATCGTAAGCTTATAAAATTGAAATATTGAAAAATCAAAATCCTGAGAAATTGAAAAATTGAAACATCAAAAACCTGAAAAATCGAAAAATTGAAGAATTGAAGCGAAAAATCGAAACTTTGGCAAGATATGGGAAAATAAAAAAAAGTTTTCTTCAGAAATCGGAAAACTGAAAATTTAGAAACGTCATAATTTAAAAAATTAAAAAATTGAAAAATCGAAATATGCATTCAGAAATCGTAAAATTGTAGAGGAGATGGAAAACTGAAAATGCCCAAAATTGAAGTTGAAAAATTGAAACGTCTAAAGTAGAAAAATCCAAAAGCGGAATAATCTCAATAATGTATTTACATATAAACGACAAGTTCATTGTTTCATACAATATTGGAACACAGGATTAAACAATTGTATTTTTTTACTGAGAAACTAAAAATCGAAAAAACTAATCGAAAAAATGGAAAGAAGAAAAAACAAATCTAATTCAAAAATTAGTAAAACCCCAAAAATTGTGAAATCGAAAATTTATAGAATTGCCCAAATTGTAAAATCGAAAAACTAACATTGAAAAATCGAAAAATTGAAAAATTAAATTTCGCGAAACTGAAAAATTAAAAGTCGCAAATTGAAAAATCGAATAAATGAAAAAATTTAAAATCCATCATAAATGGAAAAATTGTAAAATAGAAAAATTGTAAATGTGAAGCTTTAAAAAAATATAATAATTACATACATCTTTAAAAGAATACTTGAAAAATTGTAAATCGAAAATTGAAAAATTTAAATAACCGAAACTCGAAGAATCAAAAATCTAGACTTTTAAAAATTGAAAAATTAAAATATCGAAAAGTTGAAAAATTCAGAAATCGAAATATAAAACAGCCGAAAATTGAAAAATCCAAAGTTTAAAAAACGAAAAACTGAAAATCGGGAAATCCAGAAGTCGAAAAATCGTAAGCATATAAAATCGAAAAATTGAAAAATCAAAATCCTGAGAAATTGAAAAATTGAAACGTCAAAAACCTGAAAAATCGAAAAATTGAAGAATTGAAGAAGTGAAAAATCGAAACTTTGGCAAGATATGGGAAAATAAAAAAAAGTTTACTTCAGAAATCGGAAAACTGAAAATTTAGAAACGTCATAATTTAAAAAATTAAAAAAATTAAAAATCGAAATATGCATTCAGAAATCGTAAAATTGAAGAAGAGATGGAAAATTCAAATGCCCAAAATTGAAGTAGGTACTGAAAAATTGAAACGTCTAAAGTAGAAAAATCGAGAAATCCAAAAGCGGAATAATCTCAATAATGTATTTACATATAAACCACAAGTTCATTTTTTCATACAATATTGGAACACAGGATTAAACAATTGTATTTTTTTTACTGAGAAACTAAAAAACGAAAAAACGCAAAGAAGAAAAAACAAATCGAATTCAAAAATTAGTAAAACCCCAAAAATTGTGAAATCGAAAATTTATAGAATTGTCCAAATTGTAAAGTCGAAAAACTAACATTGAAAAATCGAAAAATTGAAAAATTAAATTTCGTGAAACTGAAAAATTAAAAGTCGCAAATTGAAAAATCGAATAAATGAAAAAGTTTAAAATCCATGATAAATGGAAAAATTGTAAAATAGTAAAATTGTAAATGTGAAGCATTAAAAAAAATATAATAATTACATACATATTTAAAAGAATACTTGAAAAATTGTAAATCGGAAATTGGAAAATCGAAAAGTTAAAAAAAGATGGAAAATTGAAAATTTTAAAAATCCCGAAAATTGAAAAATTTAAATAACCGAAACTCGAGGAATCAAAAATCTAGACTTTTAAAAATTGAAAAATTAAAATATCGAAAAGTTGAAAAATTCAGAAATCGAAATATAAAACTGCCGAACATTGAAAAATCCAAAGTTTAAAAAACGAAAAACTGAAAATCGGGAAATCCAGAAGTCGAAAAATCGTAAGCATATAAAATCGAAAAATTGAAAAATCAAAATTCTGAGAAATTGAAAAATTGAAACGTCAAAAACCTGAAAAATCGAAAAATTGAAGAATTGAAGAAGTGAAACATCGAAACTTTGGCAAGAAATGGGAAAATAAAAAAAAGATTACTTCAGCAATCGGAAATCGGAAAATTTAGAAACGTCAAAAATTGAAAATTTCACATTGAAGAAGGGAAGAAATAGTATAAAATTAAAACAATAACCGAAACATGGAATGTTGTGAAACTAGAAACTGCAAGTCGAAAAATTCCCAAATATAAAAATTGAAACATCCAAAAGTTGGAAGATCGAAAACCTGGAAAATTGAAAAATGAAAACTCGGAAAATTGAATATTGCAAAATTGAAGAAACAAAAAAATGAAAAATAAAAAAATTGTAAAAATTGAAATTGAAAAAAAATAAAAATTGGGAATATTGAAAAATCGAAAAATTGTAAAAATGAAGAAAATAGAAAACCAAAACGAAAAATTGCAGAACAAAAATTTGAAGAAATGAAAAATTAAAAAATTGAATAATTGAAAATTCGAGAAATTTTAAATCAAAAAATTGCAAAATCTCAAAAATTGAAGAAAAAAGGTGAAAAAACCACAAATCGAGAAATTGAAAAAATAAAAAATTAGAAAATCGAAATATTGAAAGATGGAGTAATTTCAAAATAAAGGAAATAAAGAATTGAGACGAAAAATTGTAAATTGAAAAATTGCAAAATCGAAAAATTAAATTTTTATACATTTTTCCGACAACTGGTTTCAAAGTTGACACTTTCTCAAAATTTTGTTCTAAACCTTTAAAATTTTCAAAAATAAACCGAAACATTATTTGTTTTTCAGTGTTTTTGTTGAAAATTGTGTCATAAGAAGAGTTTCAAGCCCAAAAAATGTTTACGAAATTTATTGTTTGTTAGTTAAGTGATATACAAATTTTAGTTAGAATTTAAAAAAATAACTAAAATGTAGAGTTAAAAATATGAAAAAAGGAATTTTGTCATCAGAGAAAAAACTCAACAGTATAAAAAATAAAGTCCAGTTTCTTATTTGTTTTTCAGGCTTTTAAGATGCTCAAAAATAGCCTGAAATATTTTTTACTTTTCGATGTAATTGTAAAGACTTTTGTAAAATTCCATATTTTCATTTTCAAACCGTGAGAAGTTTTAAAGATGTTTATTAAATGGTGTATGAAATTCGGTTAGATTTAAAAAATAACGAAAATGAAGGTACACAAAAATTTTAATGAAAAAACTGACTAAAGGTTGAAAAATGGAAATTGAGAAAATTGAGTTTTTAAATTGCCTTAATTTAATTAAAAAAAAAGTGTTCCGAAAGCTACGAAAACAACACAAATTTATAAGTTTTTCCCAAAAAGGTTCTAAAATTCGACATTCCCAAATTTTTGTTCCAGTCTAGGCTGGAATTTTTTTTATTTTACAGTATTTTTCTTGAAAATTGTATAAAATTCCATAAGAATGTCCAACTCTAAAGAAGTTAAAAAAAAATCAGTTTGTGCAAAAAACCAAAAAATGTCAGCATTTTGACATTACAATAAAATAGCTAAAATCTAAAAGTTTATATACGAAAAATAAAGATCTGCGAAAATTTTAGTGAAAGAAAAAAAAACAAAAGTTGAATTTGTCGGAACAACAAATCGAAAATCCTACTTTTCAAAAAATAAAAAAAAAAACGGAATAATATTTGGACATAAACAGTTTATTTCATATATTTTTAAGACATTATAAAGAAAATAAAAAGATGTG